CTTCAAGCAGCTCGGCTGCCGTAGAGATAGTTACAGACAGCGTAAATTTCCGCAACCAGCTGTCTACAAAGCAGCTGGTTGCGATCTTTCAATCCTTATAACCGTTTACACTGAAGAAAACTGATGATGCTGTCCGAGCAGAAGCTTGATCCGTTTGAGCATGGTATTATGCGTGAACCACTGTAAGGGTACGGCTTAAAACTAGCCTGTTGGAATATCCAGCAAAACTGGGACTTTCGATTTATTAGATATTAGCCTTGGTGAGGGCGTCGAGCCCTTGGGTAAAGTCACCATCTTTAGCTTTCTCTGATGCTTATTGGGCAGTCAGAGGTGTCTGCTAGGGGAGTTTTATCTACGAATGTTAAATTTTTCACCCGCACACGGATGGTGATAGACATCTCGGGGGCCGCTGTTGCGTTTGTTCTGAGCATTTCTTTACACACTGGTATGTTTCAGCGTTTGTACGGCAACAGAGCGATGTAAAACCTGCAAATAAATCACGGGTTGTCAATTGCTTCCTTCGTGAATTAGCAGACGCTCACAAATCAAGCTCGCGTTTTTTTTTTTTTTTGGTTCCGCGACACATCGTAGCAGACGAACCATCGTCTGCTCCCGCTCCTCGCCGGCCCCGCCGGGGCGAGGCATGACGGGATTGCATTTTGGCGCACTCCCGATTTTCTCGGTGCAGCGAGTGCATGCACGCGTGGGGTGCCAGCGCTGAAACGAACTCGGAGAGTGCAACCACTCGTGGAGCGCCGGCCGAAATGAACCAGTTCCACGCTGCGAGTGGGCACGCGTGGGCACGAGTGCCGTGAAACGAACTCGCTATAAGGCTAGCAATGTCTTCGAGTACAGTCAGGGCTCACATGCAGCGATTTTGGCCCTAGAGCGGCGCGATTTCTGCCGTCGCGGCGCTCGTGCCGCTCAACCTCTGGTGCTAGCCAGAGTGCCGCGACGGCAGAAATCGCGCCGCTCTAGGGCCGAAACCGCTGCATGTGAACCACATTTTAGACTAGGGGTGTCGCGAACCGGTCGCTGTTCGAGTTCGACCAGGTTCGACTTTTTCGAACTTTTAGTGAAAAGTTCGACGAACCTTGTATTGAGGTTCGACTCGTGTGCGCATGCGCGACAGGCTGGCCAGTTGGCTTCGGATTGGATGGTAATGGCTAAGAGATGAATTAAGTGCAGCGCTGATTGGCTATTTCAGTCAATACAGTACTAAAAATTAAGTTATTAACTTCTTCGGTGATTAGAATTAGTTTCTTTTAATTGCAGCTGTTCACAAAATAAAATAACCCCTTGCATAAAAAAAAAAATTCTCCAAACCTAGACATGCTTGTATTAAGGTCTGGCCACACTGTCTATAAAGTCGAACCGGTCGAATTTGGTGAAAATTTCGAAGGTTCGTCGAACCGGTTCGACTCAGTCGAACCCCGGAAGTTCGACCAAAAAATTTGGTTCGACAAAAGTTCGCGACACCCCTACTTTAGAGCAGTAAGCGCCCGGGGCAAACTGTGGCTGTGGCGCCCCCCCCCCCCCCCTGCAACAGCACGTTGTAAGTAAACATGCCAGAGTGACCCAGCGCGAATGGTTGCGACTTCTTTCGTTGCCAGTCGAGAACCACATCCTAAAAACAAACGACGTTCGCGAGTATTGAGTTTTATAGGCACCGTGATCAAATGGTTCAAAATACATTTATTTCTCAGATTAACCAAATTTCAGCTGTGGGTCTCCCATATAGCAAGCTAACGTCTGATAGAAGGAGAAAACAAAAACAAGTTAACCATGTCAAATACCCTAGAAAGCAACCGTCCGAGCCTTCAACATCGCAAATTGGGCTACGGCTTGCGACATATCCAGGCTAGACGCTATCCCGTTGTCAATGGACAAAATTGCCAGTGACGATAACCTGTCATCTTCCATGGTTGATCTTAGGTATGTCTTAATAAGCTTTAATTTTGAGAAACTCCTCTCAGCGGTGGCCACTGAATTAAAATTAACTGTTGGGCTAGTTGGTTACAGATCGTAATTACAAAAGCGCAAAGTAAGGTGGCCACTGACACTGGCAAAGTGAGGAGGATCTTCAATGACACCCACGTATAAGTTAAGTCACGTAGATGGCTGAGCAGAATGAACTGGAGGATGTCCTGGGGATCACTGCATCCAGTGGGTAGCAGGCTGCATGGGTGGAGCAGCTCTTTGCAGAGATCTGTACTGTCGATATCTGCACTTTCTAGGTGTCTCAGTGCATGGTCAAAGCCTTGGCACAGCTTAAGAAGTTCTGCTTTGTCGGGAAGTAGGGTGAGGTCCTAAAGGGACCTCCAGAGGCTCACGTGCTGCTCCATCTGCGTGAAGCGTTCTTCAGTCAATATCTTTACGGAGCCAATCATCTCGTAGAACTCTCGCTTGAATTTTATCTCGACATCATCAACCTCATATTGGCGGTTTTTTCGCTGCAGTCGAGGGGCCGGTTTCATCACTCTGTCAACACCCATGCTCTCGGCAAGATCGTTCGCAGTTGCCAGTGCAGTTTCGTACCCGACTTCGCGATAATTGTCGATGTAATCACTGCATGCTTTCAGCAGCTGGGTGGTTGCTACGTAAGGTCCGCGAGCTGCCCTGCAAGAGTTCGAGCTTCATGTCAGATGCCAGGGTCTGCCTGCGGTGATTCGGCCACTGCTTTGCAACATCATAAATTTAGCGGTTTTCGGGATTCTTGTTTCTGAATTTTGAGTTGGCAACACTAATCGGCATTGGGAGTCCGGAGTCGTCACTGGTCGCTCACACACAAGAAAGAAAGAGCTGCGGATCCAAAGTTCTTTACACAAATTTTTGGTCGGGTTGAAGCCTCTGGGCACAGAGGCTCACTAGATGCTGAGGAGGCATTGGTTTGTTTAGCCTACTTCTAGAGACTCCAGAGTGAGTGTTGCCCAAAGCGCAGCTCGAATGCCGGGAGAAATCGGGTTCAATTTATCCCCGGTCAGACCTCCTGAGCGAAGGAATGCTTCAGCTCAGAATAACTTGGCAAAGGGGCGAAGCTTACATTTTCTGTGAGCCAAGCAGAGCCTCTGAGCGAAGCACATGGTAACTAAGAGGGAAAATCCGTTCCAATAGTATTTTGTCACGTGACACGCGACGTAATTGGCCCTCAAAATGAGGGCCAATTACGGCCCTCATTTTTGAAATATTTTATATTGGATTAAACCTGTTATACTGTCAGGTGGTGCAGGTAGAGAGAAAGTTTATTTCCTTTTTTTTTAGCTTTCACTTAGAAATTTAGTATTTTGTCACATGACTCGCTCCGACACACTGATTTGCTCGCCGATGAGCTTGGCGCCACCGTTTGGTAAGTATCGCTAAGAGTGCGGCATGCTGACTCCATCGCTTTTTGCGGGTCAGGTTTTGCTCCGCTCGTAATTTGAGAGCTGTGCGGAGGTGATCGTTTGCCTAGTCGTTTATGATTCATTCCATGACGCTTGAATCTCAGGGAGGAGAGGTTCTCTATAGTAAAACATCCGCAGGTGGCTGCGAGTCGATGGACGCAAGTTATAACAATAGCCTACACTTGGTTGCAGCTGTAGCTTAGGTCCGAGCGTAGCCGGTGTTATGAGCCGAAGGTTCAATCAAAGAGCGCAAAAAGTGCAACGTCATGGCATTCTCCGCTCTTGATAGGACGAGCCGGCAGAAGAGCACGATCTGAAAGACCGCGAACACCACTGGTCCTATCAACTGCGGAGAGCACGCCATGACGGTGTGCCTTTTTCGACGTTAGATTGGCCCTTCGGCTCGTAACATCGGCCACGCTCGAACCTAAGGTGAAACAAAGTATAGTCGCTGGTTTTGCGGCCGAAATGCCAAAGAGCGAGCGCCATCAACTTTTTCTACATGTAGGGGGTCCCTCAGGAATCCGATTGTTTTTTGTTTTTATCCCCTCGAGATACACGAGTCCTGCATGAGCTGGCGGCCCTTTCGGCGTCCCCCTATGACCTGTGCGGCTGCACAGGTCGCCCACCCCAAAGGCCGGCCCCGAGACAGTGTTCTATCTTCGAGCGACGACTCAGCGACGTCTTTGTGCATATCAGCTTTGTAGTCGGGCGTGTCGTACGGAATAAATCCGTATGTTTTGATCGGTAAAATATTTCCCTTTCGTAGCTAGACAGATTCGCCGGTATCAGCTTTCATCGCCCGAAGATACTATTGAGGTTAAAGAGAGCATGGGCAATCAAACTAAGGATGGGAAAGGCACCGTCAACGTCGGCCGTTGTGTGCCGTAAGCACTTGGAGGAACAAGACCTTGTTTACCCAGTGTACAACAGACTGGGTTAGGCCGATACCGACATGCTTCCGCACCTTCTCCAAGCGTGTTTGTCACTTCTACCTTTATAATTAGGTCACAAATCCCGAAAGCTATTGGGGAGGGGTCTGTGAAGCGGTGGCGTAAGTGTTTCCGAAGCTGGTATTCTGTTCCTCGCATGTTGATGAGGTATGTGAATAATACATCCCGCTTTGTGGGCATTTCAAATGGCATTTATATCAAAGGCCTCTGGGCGGTCGGCAAATTAGCTCGCGACCCCGACTCTGCGAGTGCCACTCTGCACGAGCTGGTTGGCAGATGTTTCAGAGGTCACGGGTCTGAAGGCCCTTGAAGTGCTCGTGGAACAGGGTTGTTTTCCATAAATATAGCTTCTTCGTGAACTAACAATATCGTTCATACACGTCTGCAGGCATGATTTATTTTTTAAAAGACAAACAATTACTGCAAATTAGTTTCTATGGTAGTAGGAAAAACGGCCGAATCGCCCCCAGTTGCCTGTACGAGTTGTATTGCACTGTCCAAAATATGCTAACAATAGTGCACTAATTTGGAATGTTTATACTTTTCCCTCTCTCTCAAAAGCGGCGTATCGTGCCAAATGCACTGTTGCCCCAAAGGCGTCTTCGACGTCCTACTGGGACGAGCGTTCTAGGGACTCCAGGCAAGGGCGTCGACAAACGAGGGATGAAATCCAAAACTTTATTAGTCTCTGGGATAGAAAGGGTGCCCTCAGGCGGTCTTGGCGCGGATGGCAGCGCGCTTCCCGGTCACGGCCTGGAAGCCAGACTTGATGCTCACCACCGAGCACCTCGAGCCGCACTTCTCGCACTGGAGGAAGAAGAGCCGCGTGTCCTTCTGCAGAATCGTGTCCGGCGACCGGCAAGTGTGGCAGGTCACATACTCCTCTGCAGAATGAGAAGGAAGAGGTCACAGAGCACTCGGTAACAGTCGTGTTTTGCCCTAGCACCCCAAGCGAATTTTGGAGTAAAAAAAAAAAAAAATGAACTTAAAAAAAAAAGAAAATTTATATGGGCTCGATTGTGCTGACAAAGACCACAAACAATGTGTCCTGCACAAACCACACTCAGTCTGTCGTTTGCGCTAGATTTGACATTATTTTTATTAACTATTTTTTTTCTTTTATTTATTTTTATGTCTCTCATCCAGAACTGTGCTGTTGCCGCACTTTTGCATTGAAATAAAAAGATTGACCCCTCCAGACTGACTGCGCTAGTAGATACAATAGTAAGGGTGCAGGTGAGCTGGTGGATGTTAACCATGTTGAATATACCTGAGACTGGGGTAGAAAAGAACATAAAAGTGGAAGAAACAGAACGGGACAGGACGACGTCTCAAACTCAGCTCAGAGCCGAGTTTGAGACTTCGTCCTGTCCCGTTCTGTTTCTTCGACTTTTATGTTCTTTTCTACCCCAGTCTCAGGTATATTCAACATGGTTTGCGCTAGTAGCTCAGTGGCTGTGGTATCCAACTGTCAAAGCACAACCCAGGTTCGAGACCCGCTGAGGGCTCAAACTTTATATAGGGTGTTTGAAGTCACCAGGTTCGATCTAAAATAAGCCATAAAAATCAACTTCTGCACGAAGCAATTTAAGCTCGCTTTCTGTAAGAAATAAGGCCAAAAAAGGTGTCGGGGTCATTGGCGGGCAGTGACGCAGACAACCCGAGCCCAGCGGCAGCGCGCGTTTGGCACACATGCTGATAGATGGCGCTACCTCCTTATCGAGACTGCTCGCGACGACCCCAATTTAGTAAAATTAACATAATCTTTTTGTAGTGCACCTTTGGTTTAAAAATAAATGCAAACAATAAAAACAAAACAATGTTAAAACCTTTCAGCCTTTCCACTCTGGTGAAGAAGGAAGACCAGTAGAGCTATACAAGTGAAAGGAATGGCCCGCCGCAAGTCGGCAAGCAAGAGTGGAAAGGCTGCCGCCGTCTATGAGCGACGGCGGCAACCAGATACATGGCTTGCCGCCGTCGCTCATAGATGGCGGCAGGTGTCAAGAGTTCGGTGTCTTCATTTCTTTGCGGGGGACACAATCCTGGGGATTGTGTACCCTGCTGATGCATTTCGTCTTCGTGTCGTCTGCTTTCTTTCGCTGGTCGGTTACACCTTCCGATGCTGCTCCCAACGCCATCCATCAATACGCACACCAAACGCGCCCCGCCACTCCACTCGGTCGTCTGCTTCGCTGCCCGCCGTTGATTCCGGCAAGTTTTTTGGCCCTAGTTTTTACAGAGAGCCAGCTACACTGCTTTAATTTTACAAAAAAACAAAGAAAAAAAATGGACTCGTGAAATACACTTTCGACAAAAAAATTTAATGGCTTCCTGCAGGCGTCGATTTTTATGGTCCATTTTAGATGGAGCCTGGCGACTTCAGACACCCTATATATTACTTTTATATATCACCTTAAAGGGGCCCTGCAATCATATTTAAGCGTCTACCTTTTTTGCGGTTTCCAAGTCTCTTGGGGTTCGGGCAAGCCAGCGGGCACGGAGAGAGTAACTAAATATCAGTGAGTCATATTTTAACCGGATGACGCGGAAACCTCCTCCACCTACAAGGGCGACCCGCGCTGTCGAAAGTGCGCGATATGTGACGTCTTTGGTCCTGGGCTTATTACTGGTCAAAGCCGCTAAAAGCTTTTTTTTTAGTCGAGATACAAAATACAAGTGTCGCGAACCGTTTCAATTATGTATGAAAGCAGTTTTTGTTTAGTATTTTAGATCAGAAAAGAAACAAATGCAGTTCATAAAGTACGAAAACAAGAAAAGACCTGTCAACAAACCCGCCACCAAGCAGCGGAAAAAACGGCGCATACTAAAAAGGGCTAGTGGGATGAGGCTCCATGGAACGGCGAGCGTAGAAAGGTCCCGGATGTATGCGGCGGCGCTGCGGTCGTATACCGGCTCGAGGATCCGACCGGTTCAGAGCGTTCCGAAGGCTTTCGGCGCGGGATTGGCTCGCGATTTGGCCATTTGGCGGTATGGTTGCACGAAATGGCTCCCGTTCTGAACTGATCTTTACCCCGTGTTTGCTGTCGTTTGTGGCCAATGAGTGTTATGCCGAATTAGTCTTTAATCGCGCAGCAAATGCAATCCGAGCCACCCTAGCCACCCGCTTCATACAGCCTATCCAACACGTGCTTTAGCGGCGCCCTCTCGAGCCGTCGACACGGAGTGCGGCAGCCGTGAGCGCTCAATGAGCTCACTACTGCTCCTCTAGTTCACGGCCACTCAAGCCAGAACCTATGACGTCATGAAGGAGGTTATTTTTTGCTTGTTTTTGTAATTCTAATTCGCCTAGAACTTATAAAATAAAGCGAAATTCGAGAAAAGAAAAGGTTCTTTAAGTTACTACGTTCAGTGCACTCAGGTTCGGTGCAAATTAAAAACCAGTCAAAAAGTTGTTGCAGGGCCCCTTTAAAGGACCCCTGAAAAAAACAGAAAGTTTTTTTAAAACAATCTGGGTGGGAGACGTGGAGACACGCATGTCCAAAAAATAATTTTATGCAAAAATTTTTTTTAGAGCAACACTTGCGGTGCAGGATTTATTTTAAATTCTGCGCGCAAAGTCTATGACGTCACAGAATGGTCATACAGTCTTTTCACCTGAACAAGATGGTCATACACTCTCTCCACCTTAACGTGATGGCCGAGCCGATCCACCTCTCCTCCACGCGCCCGAAATGCCGAGAGAGAGAACAAGTGGAAAGGAGGTGACTACCGACTAAATCGCGTCTCGCGCCGTCAATATTGCTCTAAAAAAACTTTTTTCTTGTAAAATTAATTTTTTTTTTTACACGCATGTCCCAGCCAAATTGTTTAAAAAAAGAACACTCTTATTCTTTTTAGGGGCTTTTTAATGTAAGTAAGGCTCCCGGCATGCCACTCGTTCGTTACGCTCGTTATAATGCTTGTTTGTGACAATTTTCTCATCGAAAATGACCCATAAAACGATCACCCGTCAAAATATTTTTTGAGGGCTTGGATAGGTGCTTCTGTCTTGCAAAATAAATTTTCCCAGAAAAAAAAGTTTTGCCACAATATTTTTGTTGCATAATGGGTACCACAACAAAAGTATAGTGCTTTATTTTGGGGCCGATGTCTCTGAATAAAAGCATGCTTTGAAATTGTTCCTAACTCAAAATGGAAGGGAAAGTTATTTTTTTTACATACTGTATTTAATCGCATAATAAATGCACCCCCCCTCCCTCCCACCCCAACGGGCATAAATATTTGGTAATTTTTTTTCCCCTCGCGCAATGCATGCACCTTCGATTTTGTGCTCCGCGAGTCTCGAACTGCATCCAACTTAGCTAGCCGCCAAGCCCACCAAGCCAATTTTCTTTTGCCGCTAAGCGGCCAGGCCAAGCCAAGCCACTCTCATAATCGCTGCAAGTGCGCGGTTGCGGGACGGATCAACCGAGAAACCAAGCGTCGCGCACACCTAACGAAGAAGTGGGGTCAAGCAACTGCCCAGCCCCGGACACGCTTCGCCCATTACATGAATTGATGTCAGCAAACATGCCGTCGTCTGTGGTTCGCTTTCAAACAGTAAAATCATGCAGGGTTGGGCAGAAATACTAAAAAATGTATTTGGAAATACAAATACTGGGATACATGAAAATAGCACCTAAAATACTGATACTCAAATACATCTGTAAAAATGTATCGCGATACGTATCAGAAATACATTTTAAAAAGAGGCAAAAAGTCTTTGGAAATACAAATACTACAGGAATACATTTTAGTGGGGGCAGAAATACAAATACTGAAATACTGATACTGCAATACAATACAAGTTACATTCCCGCAGGCTTGGCACTTCGCCTTGAAGGTAGTGGTTCCGGACAAAGAGGAGTTTTCGATGGGCTCAAAGAACGTTCCACCAAGGATTGACTGCGGCCTCTTCCCTGACTTTCTGTCTGTCTGACGAGTGATGCGAAAGGCTTCGACCTCTAAATAAATTCCATGTCACCCTAAATCCCATCAAAACGGCACCACGCTCGTGTCCAATAAGGGCACCCCTGTCAAAAGTGATCACGTGATATCACAGTGGAATGAACTGGTATTCTTGTATCTGTAGGTGTGGCCTTGAACAGTGAGCTGACAGAACTCGCTCCTCACAAATGTGGAGCGCTAGGCAAGCGCTCCATCTGTAGTCACTCGTCGCATTTCTGTTTCAATATTTTACGCTACCGTTTCCGCCACAGTCACGACTGCTACACCGCCTATTTCTTCGGAGGTACCTCACGACGGAAAGTTACAGCAATAGCATCGGATGAATGTGGCATTGTTGCAAGCCAACGGACGAGCTGTTCGACGATCGAAGCGGTACAGACACCCACATTCCCGCCGACGGTTGCAATCGTTGCGAGAGCAGCGCTCGCGCTTTGTACGTGGGCGTGCTTCATTATTGTTCTATAGTAAGGGTACGGCAATTTATTGCTTTGGCAGTGAATTAAAAACTGCACATTTCTGCCTCGATCGAGAAGGCTTTTGCATCAATCGCAGGGCCAGAGAGGCCACTCGGGAGGCGTTTGCTATAGCGAGTCCGAGTTACTCTAGCGGGTCGTGTCTCGTGTCGTTACAAATAGAGAAACGCCAGCTGTGGGTAGACTTCACCCCACCCGCATCCACGAGGTTGAGTAAATTTTAGTCGTTACTGTGTCAGTGCCAGAAGCGTATGTTTGCGTATTCGCAGTTCCAAGATAGAAACGTGACTGACAGTTGCTCTTCGACAACTCAAGCAAGCACTTTGAGTGTGTAGATCTAAAGCGATAAAAAATGAATAATTTTTTTTTTTTTGTTTCTGCAGTTTTTTTTGTTTCCGTCTATGTGACACGTTTTCCTTGTAGCGTCCGGTCGTTGTTGGCTA